TGCGCCGAATTGACGTGATACCAAAAATTATAAAAGCTGTCCTAACATTTTGAAAATTTTTTTCAATAATGAATGGCAGAGGTATATTTAGGAATGATTTCACATGTAGGAAATCTACTACATGCTGTTAATGTGTAGTTGCAATCAGAAGAATCTTAGCAAAGATTCACAAAATTATGCTGCAGATGTGTTCATCTTTACAGTTAAAAATTGACAATAAATTTTATGGCGCCATTGCTAAGACTTAATTATATTTTATTTGAAATTTAAATAATAGAACTAGATGTTTACCATCGTTATTGAGATTAAAGGCGCGGGCTTAATTTTTTAATCACGGCCCGCCCGCTCATGGTTGCAATAAAAAAAATTCACGCCCATTCACGCTAACCACTAAAAAAATTTCGACCCGACCCGCTTACTCACGAGAGGCAATATTTTAATTCACGCCCTTCACGCCCGAAAATTCACGGTGTTTTTAAATTTTACAAAACTATTGCTATTATTTTATATTTTTTTAATTTATTTTATTTATTTCATTAATCATAATCCATATTAATAACAAAAAATAAATATATCAAAATTTTTATTGAGAAAAAGAAGAATGTACATCTTTTTATTTCATTGTGTACTCCTTTCCTCTAAAGAGATTGGTTACAGAAAATAACCTTTCACTAGAAGCCTAACTTGCCGGGGCTGACAAAATATTGCTCGCTAATTTTCTCAAAAAAGAAAATGAATATTCCCGTTTCCAAAACTTCAAAATATTGTCTTGTTATTTGTCTTATGAACGATGAATCTTTTTAGTTCATCCTCACAGCTTTCATCGAAGATGTTGATGCTTCATCAGAATCATCTAGTAATTTCTAAATTTTTCATTTAGAATAATGAGTTTAGGATAAATTAGGAAAGTTATAAAGGATAATTGGTATTATTTATGCATATCATCTAATTTTATATCATTTAGCATTTTTAAAGTTGTTTTATATATATCATCCTTTTCTTCTTCTATTAAAAACTTAAGACTTTTGAAATTCGTATCTAGAATTAAGCCTACCTTATGTAGGGCTGCATAATGATCTTTATTTTAAAAGAATCTTGTTCTGTTTTTTAAGGTTTTGATTATTATTGTATCACGTTCAGAAGGTTGTCAAAATTTTACTAATTTTTGTTTCCATAGATAAACTTCATTCATTGTTGTACCTGCGCTCAGATTATCCGAACATTCTTTAAATATTAATAAAAATTTATCTAACTCGTATATGATTTAATATCAATTGTGGCTAAATTATTTTATTCTTGCTTGCTAAACAAGTACACCCGTATTTCAGAATATGATTTTAAGAGACTCTGGATCATGATATATACAGAGTTTCCATATCGTTATTACATCTTGTTTAAGGGTGTGGTTTAGCTTGCTATTAGCTGTAGATTCTCTGAAATATTATATACTATAATTTTACACCATTTATATTTAAGGATATTTCAGTTAAACAATTGTCAAAAATATGATGCATAATATTATTTAGTATATGGCATACACATGCTAGCGTTTCGTCATATTTGAATGCATTTAAAGGATTTGCTCCGTTATCAGTCACACAACTATATATTTATTTAAATAATTTTCTACTTCTGTGTATTCTTCTAAAATTGAATTGATTAAACTTTTAATATTGATGCCTATTTTGATTTCCCTTGTGGTCAAAACAAATTCTTTTAATTCAAAATACTTAATGATAATATGTCCTGTAATAGTTAAAAAAAACTTTGATTTTTATAGTCATCCATCCAAAAATCAGTGGTTATGAACAAGTAATTATTATTGATCATGCTTTGAATCTTAATTTCATCGTATATTTTCGGAGCTATAGTATTCTTGAGAGTTTTCCTGCTCACAAGTATATCTTTTATATTTGATTGTCCATATATAACACCAACATTTATTAACTCTTGGCCTAGCTTGTAAAATCCTTCTCTCTTTGTTGCATTTAAAGATCGAAGATCTTTACAAATAAAATATAATTGACTATTCTGTAAAATGCTTTAGCAAAATATAGCAAAGAGTCTTGCAATAAAACACCTAAACATAAAAAAAAATAGAACTAACGGAATGATATCGGATGTTGTTTATAAAATGAGGAAGATTTTTTTTTTCAAAAATTATTCTTTTTCAAAAAAAAATTAAATTAGAAAATATATATTATAATTATAAATTGCAAATTTATATTTTAAAAAAAAAACAATTTTAAAAATTAAAATATCCGTGATTCACGGGAAATTTATGTTCACGCCTGGGTAAAATTTTGGGAAGGCCCGTCACGCCCAATCACGCCTCATAATTTAAAATTTATTCATATTCACACCGTGACCCACAGTGACATGATGGGTCACGCATAATTCAACGGCCCGCGCTCACCTCTAATTGAGATATTTAAAATTCCTGGCTTATTATATATTTGTTTAACCATTAGCTCGGCCTCTAATGTTGTTAAAGTAATCCGATTTCTCTACTTTTTCCAGGCAGTCTTCATCAGGCTAAAAATGCGCTCGGATAAGGCTTTAGAATGAGGGAGAAGATATACTCGCATATTTTTTCCAAGCATGGGGATTTATCGTTATTTCGAAAAAATTCTACCCATTTCTCCTCTGCTTTTAGACCATCTAACTTTAAGTATTTTGGCGTATCATAAAAAATAGAGAGAATCACAATCTTCTCAAACAAGACATCAATGTCTTTCGGTATTTTCAATATATTTATTAAATTATAAAAACCATCAATTGATGGTTTCTGTTCCAAGGTCATAATATTTATACATTTGTAAATAGAGTTATTAAAGTCAAATTTTGATTGTAAATATTCTAAAATTTTCTTAATAAAAATATCTGCTTCATTTAAAAATGTATTAATTAGAGTATTATTTGAACATTTTAATATAATATTTTTAGAATAGCGCCATAAAATTTATTATCAATTTTTAACTGTAGAGATGAACAGACCTGTAGCATGATTTTGTAAATCTTTTTTAATAAAGAATATTCTGATTGCAACTGAATATTAACTGCATGAAGTAGATTTCCTACATGTGAAACGAATCCCAAATATGCTTCTGCCATTTCATACTCGAAAAAATTTTTCAAAATTTTAGGACAGCTTTTAAAATCTATATTTAAAAAGTATTTTTTTAATGGTTTGTAAAATTTTAAAATTCTATCGATGACAGGTTTTAATGACAACCACCTGATAGGTATATATCGCAACAACTCACACCATTCCAAGTCAGACCACTTCATCACTCTTTTAATTCATAAACTCTTTTAGTTGATGAACTAAATTCGTTAAAACATTTCATCACAAATCGACATCCACAGATTTATTGCCTTCTTGCAAGATATGTAATATATGGCTTATAAATTGGTATTAATTCATTATTGTGCTGCCTCAATTCGGTAACTTAGGTTTTGGCCAAAATTTACATTGATAACCCTGAATCAGCTATATTTACCATTATGTGGCTAGCTACATCGTTGGATTTTTCACTATCCGAGGAAAAATTTTTAACAGTTTTAAAATGTTCTTATTATTGTTGAAATAGTTGAAATATTTTAATATTTCCCTTATTAGATGCTTCTGTTAGAATTGTATATGGATGCTCATCTTTCAAATCGTCTAGAATTGACCTTTAGGATTCAGGTACTAAAACACTTGTGATAGCCTTGCTCATTTTTGCTCCGCCACAAGTAAGGTTTGCACTTATACTGGAGTGGTTAAATATCATGAGAAAAGATTCGACCCACATTGTGACGATATAGCTCTGTGAATGTTGAACTACATGATAGATGTATACGATTTCCGCAAATGTAGTTGCGTCTGTATTATTTATTATTTTTGAGAATATTTTTGTATTGCAATCGATGTTGATATACTCCCCTATGAATAAAATGATGTTGATTTATTATTGGATAAAAATTAAACAGGATAGAAAGAAATTTACAAACTAGATATGTTTTTCGAATAAATATTTAAAATTTATTTTAAAAATACAAAAATATTCAATTAATGTCTCTCAAAATTATTATTTATATATTAAAAACGTTAAAATACTAAAAAAAAAAAATTGCCGAAGAAATTAAAAAATTGCGGTAGATTTTTGCGGGAGATTTCCAATTGCGGTATTTTTGCAGGAGAGAGATGTCTGTGTGTAAACTAAAAAATTGCAGGAGTCTCCCGCTGATGGGGGGAGACATGGCAACCCTGATCCTAATTAATGTTTTAACGATGAGCTTGCCTTGCTGTAAGTCCAGTGGGACAAATATTAAACACGTATAGCTCTGCTTTTGACTTAACAATAACATATAAAATATGAAATTTTTCATCAATATTAGTCCTAATTTTCTTGAGTTCTAATAAAATGCTCTCCGCTATTTTCATCTTCTTAATCAAGTCAATGTCATGTTTTTGAAAAGTAATTCATAAAATAGTTGTATAATTAAATAATACATTTTAATGAGAAAAAAAATTTGGAATAAGCATTGAATCCAATAATTTTCTTGCTTCTGAGGAAATATTTCTTTCAGACCATTTTTTGCCTATAACTGTTTAAATACTTTTAATTTATATGTATATTGATGAATACACAGGTTTACTTCGAATAGTTTGAATTTTATAGGCTTGATACTCCAGACATTCTGAAATACATTTCCTCTAAACTTTGATTTTTCAAATTTAAAAAATGATATAGTTGGGAGAATCCGAATCCATGAATTTTATATCACAATACGACATATATAAAATATTTTGTTGCATAAGAATGTTAATAATTTGATATTTCCTTGCATCAGAATGTTTCATTAAGAATGTTTTTGTTGTAAGAATGATAGATAATAAATTATTAGAATTTTTAACGAGATTTCGTGAAAAATATTACCAAAATTTTAAACAACAGCTGATAAATGATTTTGGGAAAACTCGATGGTTCATAAAAATCTTTTTACAAATCGGTTATATATTTTTTTAAATTTCAAACATGTTTAAATCGATTCCTATAATTTCTAATCATAAGGACCTAATACACGATGTAGCTTTTGATTACTATGGGAAAAGAATGGCAACTTGCTCAGGGGATCATACTATAAACGTATTTACATAAAGGTTTTAATGCTATATTTATAATAGGTATGGGATCTGAATAGTAAAAATGAATGGGAATCTTTAGCAAGCTGGAAAGCACATAATGGGCCAATATGGAAAATTTCTTGGGCACATCCAGAGTTTGGTCAAGTTTTAGCATCCTGTTCATATGATAGAACAATAATTATATGGGAAGAAATTTATAATGGTAATATTTATTTTTGCATGAAAGAATTTATAAATATTGTCAGTCACCAATTCAAAATATGCATTATCAAGTCCTGACATTAAAAACAGTTATAAATGGATCAAAAGAGCAAGTTTAGTTGATTCAAGATCTAGTGTCACTAGCATTCAATTTGCCCCTCATTATGACTTTACATTCTTTTTTAATCCATATATAGATAAAAATAATGATAACACTATTAGCAAAATTATTAATAATGTTATGGATAATTATTTGGGCTTTGGTCTTGCATTAGTCTCAGCATCTAGTGATGGAATTCTACGGTTTTATGAAGCACCAGATGTTACAAACCTTAGCCAATGGTCTCTTACCAATGAAATAGTTTTAAGTATTAATGAACAAAGCATCAATATTAATTCTCCAGTTCTGAATACAAATCTTAGCACCAATACATTAATTTACCCAAATAATAAAAATTTGAATTTAGAAATATCACTATCCTTTAGTAATTGTAGGTAATATAATAAATTTATAATTTTTTATTTTTAAGCTATTATTGGAAAAAGTACCCTAAAGATATATAAACAAGAGTTTGAAACTGGGACCAGAACCTTAATCTTTCTTAATATTTATAGGAACCAGAACTCATTTTATATTTAGAAACCATTTCTAACAAATCCAAATGTGTCATGATTGATTTTGGAGTTTATTTATTGTTTAATTATTTTGAATTTTGTGCACAATATGATCAAAATTTAAAGAATGTGCCAGGTTTTAAAAAAACCCTAGCAGTGCTTAAAATATATTGATTAAAAAATCGGGTATTGCTTGACCACCTTAATTTTTAACTTTTAACAACCTTCATTTGATAAAATTATTATGAAATAAATTTTATTAAGTTTTATAATATATAATAATGATTTGATAGAAATTAATATTAAAATATTCTAGCAAAATTCTTAATAAATCCACTTATTTTAATTCAGTTGTGTGACTTTTAGATTTAATAACTGCTAATATTTATTGAGGCATATAACCATAGATATTGTGGCTAGATTTTGCTAGGGGGGGATCACTATTGGGTGCATTACCCTTATATATTTTATGGTAGCCTTCTTGAATCTTTTCCATATATACCCCACATTAGGCTTATTCAAAAACATATATGAATTGAATAGTGCATTATTTATATTCAATATGAATTGAATAGTGCATTATTCATATTCAATATGAATTGAATAGTGCATTATTCATATTCAATTCTAGACAAATTGAATACTATGATACTTTTTTATTTAATTAAATCAAAATTATTACATTATGAAATATCTACATATAATAATTCTTATCATTTAAATATTATAATAATAACAAAATAAATGTTTAAGAAATTTGGTAAGGTTAGAAAAAAGTATCTTATTTGAATATCAATATTTTGAAATAAAATATTTAACTTTTTGACTTATACATTTATATATTTATATTTAGAATCCTACCCCCATTATTAGCCGTTGGATTGGATAATTCTCATAACATAAATCAAAATATTAATTTTCCGAACAAAGATATTTTTAATGGTGAAGTGCAAATTTACCAAAATATGGCAAATGGAAAGTACTAATAAAATATTATGCATTATGGGATGTCTCTTAATAAAACCCTTATTTACTTTTACATATAGAAAATGGATATTAGTTGACAATCATTTAGCTATGATTGCTCAGGGCATCAAAGATATAAAATTTGCACCAGATATGGGCAAATCTCATCACATTTTGGCAGTGGCAACTTTAAGTGGTGTCCATATATTTGCTCTTCAAACTCAAATTGAAGAAATTCAAAATAAGGAAGAAGGATTGGATGCATATTTTGAAAAAAATAATAGGTTTTTATTTTCAAATATTATAAAGATATATATGTGTTGTTAATTTATTGGTTGTGTAAAACCCAGGGTTTGGGTCTAAAAATTGACTAAACCAGCTCTGAGCACGAACCCTTAGCCCAGACCAAGGGTTCAAACCCGTGGTTTAGACTCGAGGTTCCGATGAATAATATTATTCCAAATACTTCAAATAAAAATTTACCAAAAATATAGAATGCAATGGAATTTTCTGAGGTTTGATAGTAAAGTCCTGCAACCAACTCAGCTTAGGGTTAAAAAATTTTTAACCAAAAAATAGGAGAGTTATTATGTTGGTTAGCCATACAGTTATTTCCAGCTTTACCATCTTAGTTCAGAATTGGATCGAACTTTCTACCCGGTATTAATTTTTAATAACAATTGTTTTTCAAAATTTTCATCTGATAGACAGGAACGCTTGATAGTTAATACGGCATTAGCTATACTAAAAACGCACTCTACAGGGGCAGATAAGGGGATAAAAAAGGATACTTTCACAGTTCTTACATTATTATTTCTAAGGTTTTCAATGCATTTTTTCAATAGCGTTATAGCTTATTCTTTATAGGTTCGTTCTTGAAAATTTTTTCTGGTCATTGAAGCTTGAATACTGGATGTATAATTGCAGAAAGAACATATTCATCTTCATATAAATATGTTCAAATCTTTAAAAAAATAGAATATATGTTGAAAGTGATAGGTTTAATACCTTTTATTAATCCCATTTAATACTGCGTCTATCAATGGTTGACCATATTTTAAACAGTTATTATTGGGGTCAAATAGCCCAAATGCATTTTTTTCAATTTAATGATTTTACTTAGTTATATTATATAAAATATTAATATTACAATTTTGAAACTGATATAATACTTTTTGGGCACATTTTACATTCAGTAAATATTGAATTAGTTCCTTCAAAATGGGATATTACTGTAAAATATTTATCATATTTGGGCCATGGTAATGTCAATTCTGAAATAATAATATCCATGTTTATGCTAATCTATTAAATTAAAATATAAACAATAATATTCAAATTAATATAAAATTGAAATGTGAAAAAGGAAAAAAAGTTGATTATAAAATATAACACTTTTTTCTTAAAATAATCAGATTAATATTAAATTTTTCAAATATATAAAAATAAAAAGTGTTTTTAAAATTGAACGATTAAATTCGAACGCGTTCGTCATAAAAAAAATGTGTTCACGTTCAAAGTTCGTCAAAAATAAAAGGAACACCGTCATCATTTTTTCAAAAAACGAACTTCGTTTACGAACGCGTTCGTTTACAAAACTAGTATTTAGCCATAACCCTATAGTAATTACACAAACTTTATAAAAAGTATAAATTGAAGATTTTATATATTTTGACTTCAGAATAGGCTGTACAAAAAGACGCTTGCTAACCCCCCCCCCCACCCCCCAAATAAAAAAGATTCAAAAGTATTCTAAATATCACATTCAAGCTCATACTTACCGAATTTCGGAACTAATATTATCAAATGTACCTATCTAAGATACATTTCTAAAATTAGAAAAAAATCAATGTGTTTTAAAAATAGCGATGAAATTCCAAATCCGGCCAGAAAGTCCGTATCTAATTCTGAACTAGGATGGTATAGCTGGAAATAATCGCTCGGCTAACCAATAATATAAAACATTTTAATCTTATATTTTTGGTATTTCTAAGCGCTAGGTGGTCCCAACTAAAAAAATTTAAACCTAAGCTGAGTTGTTTGCAGGGCTTTATTCTAACCTCAGACAATGCCATTGCATTTTGCTGTTTCTATATTATTGGTAAATATTTTTATTTAAACTATTTGGAATAACATTATTCATCTGAACCAAGGGTTCGTGCTCAGAGCAGGCCTGAGCACAAAATTCGATCTTCAATTTTATGACAAGCAAATTAACAACACTAATATAATATTAAAAATTAATAGCTTTCTGGAGACAATATCCACACCGATGTCTACATCTCCCATCAATAAATACTTTAGGGTACACCAGATGGCATTTCTGAGCTCCCAAAATCACAATATCTGGCGAGTGGCTTGGAATTTAACAGGAAGTGTTTTAGCCTCATCTGGGCACGATGGTTTAGTTAGGCTTTGGAAAGGTTATAATGTTTAACATTTTTATTTTTCTATTCTCCAGTGATAAATTTCATTAGATAACTTTTATTTGATATATAGTAGAACCTGCTGTTATCGGCGGGAACTTTTTACCTTAAAATCTTTGGCGAGATGTTGCGCCTTTTTACGCCGGCGCGCAAAATTTCTCTACCTTAAAAAGGTTTTGTTATTTTTATTTATTCATTAAAAAAAATAACATAAATATGCATAATTTATTTGAAATTAATTTTTTTATATAAAATTTATTGGTTCATCATTATAATGATATATTATAAATTCAATAACTTTATTAAATTATAATTTTTTTAAAAAAGAATTTTATTTAAATTTGAATGACATTAGGCTCTTACTGAATTTAAAGTGAGTCGTTACTGTGTGCTTGTAGCTGAAACACATAATATTTATGTGGCTAAGATTGAAATCTTAAAAGATTTTATTTTTTTTCTTTTAATCAATTATATCTATTGGAGAGAGGATATACATAACGATAAATAATAATATCGTTCTTTATGATTCAGGATATTATTTAGCTTATTTTGATAAATAAGTCACTCCACTAATATTTGTTATAATTTGATTATGAATAAACATATTTCTGGTGCATTTCCTTGGTATATTTTTTTTCATTTGTTCACAATATTTTGAAATTGATAAATGTATATATAATATTAATGTTTTATGTAAGGTAATATATACACCAATGTCATCATAGGCTAAGTGCTAAATACCTCACATTATTCTTAAGGGGATAAAAACATTTGAATCCCCGAAATCCGAATGAAATAAAATTTGAATTAATTCTCAATTCTTCTATTAATCGGATCTTCAACAAGCAGGGGTTACGACAAAAAATCGTCATTAAAATGGGGGAGAGTTAGTAACAAGAATTTTTTGCTAATTTTTATTACCTTTTTTTGCTATTAATTTATTTATCTAAAGCTTATTTGTTGGTAATATTTAAAGCTTTATAATATTTTTTAAGGCTGCCGATCGACATATTTTCATCGATCCGATATTTGTTCAAACCTCCAATATTTATTTTTTTTAACCACCTCTCTCTCTTTGAATCAAATGTAATTAAAAATTCATAGTTTCTTTGCAAAAAATCGAATTAAGCATTTAATTTAATTTTAATATTTTTATTCCTACAATTAGGACTATAATTTAAAAAAAAATTTATATTTAATAATGTATCCATTCTATTTTAAATAATATATGTGAATTCCATATTAAATCAACCAAGGTTTCAACCCGACCCCCTTCAATTTTTCGTATACTGGTAGTATATACTATAACTAAAAAAAAATGAAATTTTACCTTCCAACACTGTTTAACCTCTAAGATATGGCCGTTTAAAGCGCGGAAAAATGGTACATTTTTGACAAAATGCACCTCATTTATTTTCAAATATCTCGAGAAATAATTAAGTTAGAAAAATAATTTAAATTTTATTTTGTAGCTTAATAAAAGTTCTTTAAAATGACATAAAAATAAATATGATTGACATTTTATTAATATCGAAAACCAGATGTGTAAAACCGGAAATGGCCATAGAAAAAAAAGGTATTTTTTTCAAAATTTTTTTTCTGTAGATAGATATCACACTGCTTTATATTTGTTCAAAATCCTAGACTGGGATGAACATGGGTTTAGGAGTTATCACTCTTTATATGGCTAAAATTGAACAAATTAATTTTATGAATAGTTATGAAATAATGTTAATTTAAAAATTATGTCTAAATGATAGGCTTCCGGTTTTACACATCCGGTTTTCGATATTAATAAAATGTCAATCATATTTATTTTTATGTCATTTTAAAGAACTTTTATTAAGCTACAAAATAAAATTTAAATTATTTTTCTAACTTAATTATTTCTTTTCCGCGCTTTAAACGGCCATATCTTAGAGGGTAAACAGTGTTGGAAGGTAAAATTTCATTTTTTTCTTATAGTATATACTACCAGTATACAAATTTAAGAAAAATTGAAGGGGGTCGGGTTGAAAATCGACTTTTTTTTGTTGATTTGATATGGAATTCACCATATATATGTTGGTATGAATTATAAATTATAATATTTAATATATAAAATTATAATATATTAGATTCTTTTAATAAATATGAGAGCCTCTAGATTTTCTGGCAATAAGCTTCTACGATGTGGACTATCTATATCCCCTGCCGTGCTGAAGATAGACTCAGATGGGACACTTGTTGCAGGAGACGCCAAAATTTTACCTGTAACTTTTGACAAAATTGGATACTTTTCAGCATTAATTCTCCAATAGTTAAGTGGATCCACAAGGGACATAATATAATGTTATTAGAGTTATCCAAATAAAAAACAGATATAAAATTAGCATTTTTAAAATAGTGGGTTTCATACAAACTTATTTTGGGGTTTGAAAAATAATCGGATACCACCTAAACAAATGGGTCAATAACCCAACTAAGCAATACTAGATAAAATATTATTATACTGTCTAGATATAAAGATTCTTTTAAATATTCCTTATTTTTTTAAAAGTATGACAAGTCATCTGCATTATATCGATTTTAATTATTTTATTTCTAACTCTTGATTTTCAATTTATAAGCATCCCTTAAATTAAATTTGCATTTTTTAATGTGAAAGATTTTCATTGTCATTACCTAAGTTATCAATAAAATCTAAATTTATTTAAAAAATATATATAACTCGGCAAATCTTGGAGTTGTACATTATTATCACTTTAATAAAGGGTCACATGCAGTCATGAGATTTTTAATATATGAAATGTCATTTGGTAAAAAGAAATCCTTATAACAAGGATCAAGTAATGTTGCAAGATAATTGTCATGATCATAAAGCTCAAAAAACCGAGTTCTTATTATTAAAATTATCCTTCATAGTCTGCACACATCTATCCGTGTCCCCGTTAGAGTTGATTCACTTTTCAGAATTTCAACAAAGGGTATAACATTGATAATTACATGACTACGTACTTATTTCTTTTGTTACCCTCTGAATTGGTTCCAGAACATCAATAACCTCTTCTGCTAATTCCCACTCATATAATGAGAAATTTACCAAATTAGGATTATCGATAATGAACGGCCTATCAATCGTTCGAGCATGTAATAGGTAGAATCCCAAGGGGTTAGCACGTCATGGATTAATTTGTGCCTAGCTAGGCTCGATCGATTGTGGATTCCTTTTAGACTATTTTATGAAATAGAAGAATGTTTAAAGTGGGCTACTATTTTTCATACCCAATCAAACATGTCAATGATAGATATCTGTGATAAAATTGCTGCCTGTATAACTAATTGCAAATGAGCAAAACAGGAAACGCTTTGAATTTCCCGTTTTTCATGGCCAAAGCTATAATGGGGCATTATCACTAATGATTAGGTGTATTTTTTTATTCCCCAATAATTAATCATCTAAAATATGAGGAATGTTTATTGTTGTGTGCGACTCATTAAATGTTTTAACATTTGATACTATTAGTTCGTTTACAGTTTTGGTTTTTATAATGGCATGTTAATGAGATATGAGAATCGCCACCTGGATTTCTAGTTCATATATGGTAAAGGAAAAATAAAATCTTCATCCAAAATCTTTTTTCGGGGAGTATTTTTATATATATTAGGAATAACTCCTTGCGAAAAATACTTTCTATTGGGAATTTTATAATTTCGACATAAATGATGTAAAAGCCTTTTAAAGCCGTCATCTTCATAGAATTCGACTGGTGGTCACAGGCTATCATTTCCCTTATAAATTTAGGATCAGAATTTTTCCAAATATTAGTTTTATTAAGTGCTATTCTTTTTTAAAATTTGATTTGTTTTTTTCTAATATTTTTCGTTTTTTGTATTAGCTTTTCGAATGCCGCTTGATGAAATCGCTTTAAATGTTTATGGATATTGGTTGTATTAAATGAATTTTTCATTATTCCTTCCCTGAAATTAGAATTTCGCAGATAGCGCATTTTGCAAAATTATTTTTGTCTTCTGTAAAATATTTCCATAATTCAGATGACATATTTAAAAAAATTCCTTTATTTAAAGTATAAATAATAAAATTGGCGTTATTATTTAAAAATCTTTTCAAACACTTTAATTTAGAATCGTTCTTTTTGAAATATTATAATAATGAAAAATAAACGATTAATATATATATAACATAAAATAAAAAATATCTGATCAGGTTTTTATAGGTATCGGCCCGATCTGATATTTTTGGAAAAGGCAAAATATCGGTGCTGATCCTATATTTAATATCGCCACAACCCTAATTTTTTAGCAAATGTTTTTTTAATCATGAAAAGAATATTTAAATTAATAAATATTATACATATTAATGATAATATAAATCTTAGTCTACCAGGCGCCGATAATTTTTCAATGGTGTCGTGGTGAGAACCAAAAAACCTGGCAGCGTAGGCTCTGTATAGGTTTACGAAAAGAATTATTATTTAAAAGTGCAAACCGGTTTAAGGCCGGTAAAAAACTGGCCTAAGACCCAATAAAATTTAAGGAGTGGGGGGGGGGCTAGGAAAATATTGATTAATTTTTTACACAATATCAAATGGTTCTGGGACCTAAAAATTTGATATACTATTATTAATTGTTTTGCTGTATATTCCTTTTAAACGAATAAAAAATCAGCTTCCTTGTAGTTACCATATTCATTTATTATTATTTAGCTGATTATGTTGGAAAATGGAAATGTTCAGCAATATTAAAGAATGACGGTTTATTTGTGCATCTCAGCAGTCAAAACGTTTCAGATCCAGAAATATGCAAGGTAACGTTAATAAGGCAATAAATTGATCTATATTTTTAGGTTCATCATTGCTATACATTTATTAATAATTTAAATTGCTAGTTTTATCATTGCCAAAAACATTCATACCCCAAACCCAATATTTTTAGGCACTTTCATCTTTATTTTTTTTATCTAAAATTAACAGGAAACTAATAGCAATAATCAGGCGAAAATTGAAAATGATATATACGATTTGAAACAGATTCAGAATAAAATTTTATCTCAGAATTCTGCCTTAAACAAAAATATGAATAAAATTTATAAAAATGCTAAGAAAATTGATTCCCCGTCCCAAGTTGTTTGGCATTGACAAATAATATTACATAAATCCTTACAGTGTTTTGTGATTTTTATTACAGACATAAAAACAATAGATTAAATAAATAATTTTTTTATTCAAATATTAATCGCTCTCGGAGTTATACCCACCATAGGAAGCTAATGTGTTAAGTGATGAGGATATTGCATTGGAACTAACGTTATTTAACTTATTGTCATCCGTATTTGAAGCGTTAACATTTGCGTTATTAGCTTTTTTTTTAATTATGATTTTAGATAAGGCTATTCTAGAAGTGGATGTCATCGAAGATGGCTTTCTAAAATTAAAATAACTTGTTTCCTATTATTGTAATATTAAAAAATATAACTTTAATGCGGTATGGGATTAAAGAAAATGGTGAAGTTATCAATTTATTAACTAAAAAAAATGAGATTATTAATGGTAAATGAAAAACAATGTAAATTAAGTAATCAACAATATGTCACTCCAATACTAGACAATACAAGTATATAATATAAATAATTTTTTTAATCTATTTAAGTGCTACATTTACATTTTGATAACTTGTTTGTATTGTAACTAGTAATTATGTGATAAAAAGATGTTATTTATTTAATAACTAATTTTTTCTATTTATTGGAGGACGATAACCTAGTATGTTACTGACATTGTATTAATATCAAGTAAAGTAGAGATGTACTGGATCCAAATTTTTCACTGGCACAGGACCAGATCCAAATCATTATTACCCAGCTGGGTCCGATTAAAAAATATATATTTATCAATTCTCTTAATATGTAATGTTAAAAAATTAAAATAATTTTCCGGATTTATAAAAAAAAAATATACACCTTGCTTTTTGTATAACTATTGCACCGAATATATTTAAATACACATCATGAATTACCTAATAAATTTGTTGATAGTATATTTTAAGCAATATTTGAATGAGATAGAGAACTAATTGTATATTAATATAAGTATGAAATTTATCCATGACCGGGTACTGAAAGTTCAAAAATCTTGATCTTGCTTTTCGAATATCAAAGGGAAAATCATAGAAGATTTTATGTTAAACCCTGTTTGTCCATGACATATTTATGTACACCTGATAATTTTATTTTTCAAAAATCGCCATTATGAATTGCCTAATTGTTTTATATAATGCTCTATCATTCATTGTGATAAAATAATGAAAAATTAATATGATTTATAAAAACGAATTTTTTATCAGTTAAGTAAAAAAAAGTGTAGGAAGATATGTTTTGATCACATTTTTTTTTCTATGAGAGCACACATTTGCGAGTTAATTTCACATTAAAAATTATAGGGTTTTCCAGGTTTCAGTAAATCAGTTCCTCCATTAAAATCATCTATTTACATTTTTTTAAAGAAGGGTATCGCCGAACATTTCTCTCATCCAATATCACTCTTATCTACATCGTCATAGGCCCTAATTCCCTTACCTTCATTAAGGTGCATTTTTTCCCAATCGTTTATTGTGCCCAAACCATAATCTATCCATTTCTTATCGACCAATATAATTGCTTATATTCAAATCCTTTCTCACAATTCCTTGCTTGTTTCTCTCTCTTGAGATGTTCCACATATCCATTCTCATTTCTGTTCTTTCCTTTTAGTTTCGAATGCCACTTTTATTGCTTATTTTATCCCGCCATATACTATCAAACTTTTCACATAGATTATATAACATTTTCTTTCAACTTCAGTTAAGGTTTTTTTTATTAGAATAGATAGCATTTCTCGGAACTTCCTCCATGCATATCGCTTGCAACAATAGAATAAGTAACATCTCCATCTGTGTTTAGCATGTCATTTAAATAACGGAACTTTCCCACTTTTTTCCAAAGTTGATCCATTACCAATAGCCAATCCACTCTTATCTACATGATAGTCTCCTATCACATAATTTCTACCGATAAAAATTAAGCTAACTGGCTTTGCGCTACCTTTTTCGGCACTAAATATAATACTATTTCAAAAAAAATGGCTATTTGATAGAACCAGCCAGGTCCAAATAGAGGAAATCTGGTCTAGTACCGGATCCTGTATATCTCTAGTAGCAAATTATTAATAAATATCTTATAACTTGATTAAATTTTGACTGATTAATATTGTTTATTGGGTCTAATTCTTCCCTGATTTTCTTGTTATCATTTTCTAAATGTCTACATGTACCCTTTGATATCTCGTTAAAGTTATTGTCATAAGTAATCCCAAGCATATTTTCATCTTGATCACTATCTTCATCCCTAATCCTTTTGTATTGACTTTGTTTTTGCTCAGCTAAGATATCACTGAATAAGTAAAATTAATAGACATAAGCTTTTAGGATAAAATTTAAGCAAAAAAAATCCATAAAATAGATCATGTAACAAAATTATAATTGTATTAATTATTTCATGATTTTATATTTGTTTTAAATGCTTTCTTTTTTGCTTAACTAAAATTTAAAGCAACTTAATTTAAAAAAAACGAAAATTTAACTTTAATAGAATTTCATCATTTTGAATTTGATTAATAAAAGCTTGTTTGGATATGTTGGTGTGTTTATGTAAAAGGGCATCATAATCTATAGTGGAATTTCTGGCATTCATTTCCTTGATTTCTTCCAAATTCTCTAATATCTCCATTTCCCTTTGAGAATCCTTTGTCCTGTTTTCTAATATCTATATACATAAATATTAACATTACCTTAAATAAAAGAAATTTAAATATTTTTATATTAATAAAGTTGTAAGTATAAAAAAAAATAGAAAAGAAAAGTTATTATATATAAAAATATACAATATAATACTTTCATTGGATTTTGTATCAACTCTTCCTCCATTTTCTTTGTTTTTTCATCTTCCATCTTTCTAGCAGTAGTTTCAGCTTCAAAATTCCTTGTAGCACCATGTTCAATTGCATAATCAGTGTTTTCTGGATCAGTCTGCATTGTAATAAAATAATATTAGAATTGAGGGCATAATGTGGAAGGCTCAATTTTGATTTTTAAATGACAAACTCAATATTTTAATCTTAAAAATATTGCCTCTTAAGATTTCAGAAATAGATGTCCTAATTTGTGCCATCATAATAGGAAATCTTCAGGTTTACACAATTCTGGATAAAATACTGGGTTAGCCAATTTTTTCGACTCAAATCAAGCCTTTTAAAAACACTATGAGAGATAATGTCTTCATTTTATTTTAAAATAAAAAAATATATACATAGCTAACTAAATATAAATTTTTTAAGCATTCTCTTGCATTCAACATTATAATACTTTGTAGGTGATTTCTGCTAAACATCTAGTACATCTTATATAAAATCTGTATATTTCCAGCCCTAAATAATCTTCACCTTTGACGGTTTCCTTTCTTGAGTTAAATTTTTTCCCTTTATAAATAAATTCTCCGCATGTTTTGCATCTAAGGATAATTTAAAAAAAATTAAATTATTATAAAACCTCATATTAAATGGTGCCATTGTTCGAATATGATATTGTCTATATCTGTCTAGCTTTAATTTAGGAAGTATTGTTGGATCAAAATCCGGTGGATAATATTTCTATAATAATTAATAGCTGTAGATACATTCTATTTTTTATTATTCTTACATTTAAAACTTTCCTTTCAGACATGGTGAATTTAATAACTGAGTGATAAAGAATTCAGTACGAAATAGCGAAAACCAGAATAGCGAAAAATAAAAAATATATAAATTATGTTAAATTTAAAAATTATACCTCATGAGGCCGCATATATAAGTTACCAAAATTTAACAGATTTTGATATGCGCTATATATCACGGATCACAGAAATTGCACATGGCATTTCAGCAGTTACAAAACTATCACCTTGATACCATATGTATTGATTTTTTTTCCAAATGAATTTGCTTCATGGAGTTGATTGTATTTGTCTAGTTTTTATGCAGATATTACATTTTATTATCGATTAAAACATGTGAAAATTAAATCATGGCTCTATCTTTATACGAATATTTAAAAACCATATATCATAATGGATGATTTGTAATTGAATTCGATATTTCTAAAATTTAAATTGAACTGGAATCGAATACTTGCAGAAAAATAAAATATTTATTTCATTATTACTATGATCAAGAGTTAAAATTATTGCATAGACAATATCACTGTGAATGTATCTGATTACATTTACTCCAATGATATATTATATTTTTTGATAACCACGATCGATTGAATATAGTTTTAATGAGCTAAATCCAATATGCCGACGCTAATATTATCCATAATACCAGTCGATCCAAACTGATGTACTTTTCCATGCGTTTCTTAGAAGGACTGACAACTAATATCTCAAGAAGTCAAGATCGTGAAGCGTTTCTTAGAAGGACAACTAATATCTCAAGAATAGTAAAGTAAAGTAGATTTAGAACAGGTCAGAATTTTTTTTGCTTTTAAAACCTTTTTTATAATTGGTGTCTAAGTTTTAGTTAGTCTTCTCAAAACAGGTATATTTTTCTTCCTTTTATCTTTTTCCTCATTTTATCTCTTAATCATAATGTAGCACAAAGTTAGCTTTAATCTAACATTATATATACTCATATTCTCTGGTTATGTAATATGTCAGTAATTTGTCTTTGCCGTGTTATATTTTATAACCCTGTTATATTCTATCAATTTTTAAAATTTCTTAAAATGTTTTGCCCATAGGCGGAGCCAGGATTTTCGTAAGGGGGGGGGAATTAAAACATTACTGGGGCCTTCGCCCCCAGACCCCCTTTTGGGCGGGCCTTCTGCCGGGTTACTTTAGTCTATATATGGTTATAAAATATTTTTACAAATTTTAATAAAAAAAATAAGCCTGGAACAAATATGAAATATACTTTTATTAGTTTATATAAAAATTAATAAATTACTTGTATTGTAAACACCTTAATATAAAAGAATGGTAATAATTCATTCCAAACAATTATAAGAAATTTATTTATAAAAAGTAAGTAGACATATAGTTGATTTTACTCTATTATATAGAATTAGTTATAAAATAGTAGGTAAAATTCCACTTTTACAGACATATTTGACAGTTAGAGAATATATTACAGTTAATAGTTTAACAAATTTTACTAATCAATGCTCTTGATATTAAATATGCAACAATTTGCATTCAATTATTTAACGCCATCTATTTGTTTTAAGAAAAATAATATTTAAATTTAATTTTCATATTATTCATCCCACAATGTCTTTAAAAGATATTTTCTGATGTCCTTATCAATATTTTATAGTTATCTGTAAAATAGATTGTTCGCTATATAGGTAAAAATTACTTGATTGTCATTTGATAATTAGATATACTGTAAATCTACGACATATAATATTCCCCTGTTTGTATTGTGCTTTAATATTTTTTTAATTTATTTTTTAATTTTATCAATAGTTTTAAAATTATATTTAACTTTTATTAAGATTAATAAATTAAAATTACTCACTTTATAAAAAATTATATTTGATATATTATATTATTTATTAATTTTATGGATCTATTATTAATAATTATACTACAATTCACTTCTGTCTTAAGACTTATCTTTGGCTTATATTCCATTTATTAAAAAACATTTTTGGTTCATTTTATATATTTATAAATTTATTTTTCCCAAAAATCTATAAATTATGATGAATAGTTTTATAAAAAATATCAACTTTTACATTCTTTCTTATAAATTATTATTTAAGATATATGCATACATATTTGAGGGTCAGGGAGTGGGGGGAGGACTAAGGGGGATATTTTTTATTAGCTAAAAATGATATTTACAAAAAGTGATAAATTTCTGAAGGGGGGGTGGGAGGAATTTCCCCTTGCCCCCCCCCCCATGGCTACGCCTATGTATTCAATGTATTAAGATTGACAAAATATACTTGTAATATGTCGATTAAAACTAATTTAAGATGCACATGTATAAAATATAGCTGTAATATGTAGATTAAAACCTATTTTAACTAATAAGAGTATTAAGGCAATATTAAGTCATTACCAGACTGACATACGCGGAGCTGAAACCTACTTGAGATTGATAAAAAATTAAGGCAAAGAACAATATAGTAATGAGGCAAAAACAATAAAGTATATTAAGGCAAAACCCGTCAATCTATAGTTATATATATCATTGGCTTCACATAATAAGTTCATCTTATCTAGCATATTATAACATTAATTGTATGTTATCTTTTGTAAATTTTCTTTCAACTTCACACAATAAGTTCATCTTATTTAGCATATTATAGCATTAATTATATGTTATCTTATCTAAATCTTATATTAACTTTTCCTAATCAATGATTTTTGACTTCCCAACTTTTATATATACTACATTATATATTAGTTAAATTTGGATAATTATCTAAATCAATGATGTTTTGACTTCTTAACATTAAATATATACACTACATTATATATATTAGTTAAATAACAGTATATACATATAACTATTCTATTATATTCAAGTGTTTTCAGCTTCATGTCAATCATATATTTTATTAGTTTTTAGTATTATTTCTAGCATATAAAAACAAGCAGCATTTTTTGGCTTATAAAAACAAATATATTTTTATTAATTTTAATACTTTTACTAATTTTTAGATTTTTGTTAATATTCATTATTACATAAATTATGTTGATAATAAGATTATTATGTCAATATCATTTAATATGATATAAATGAATTTTGGTTTTTAACATCATATGTGCATTATATTTTATATATATATTAGTTTATTTATATTACATTATATATATTATTAATTTGATTTTAAACAGTATATGTATATCTTACTCTAGATATTTGTTTAATCATTTGAAAATCTGTAACAATTATGTTTAGGTTTAATTTTTCAGTTTTATATTCAGTCTTCTCCTAGATAATATATTACATTATTCATATATTTAGTTTAATTTTAAACTTCAATTATTCTGGATAAGTTTTAAATATACCAACTCCAATATGAATCCTTTCTCATAAATCATTATTTATATATAATAATTCCCAGTGCAAGGTATAATATGTTTTCCCTGTGTATAACTTGATTTTTCTTTTATTACTTTCTTGAAGGTTTTAGAAGTAGTTAACTTGCTTTCCCTTTTATTACTTTCTTATTGGTTTTAGAAGTAGTTTTATAGCCTAGCTTTACATTAATTAGTCATTTTATTAAATATGTTTTCCCTGTGTATATTGCTTTTACTTTTCACTTTCTTGGAGGTTTTTGAAGTAGTTTTATATCTTAACGTTAATTTGTCATTGTATCGCTCATTTTCTTTCAAAATTTTTTTATTGCTAATTCTTTAGGCGCCGCTTGATTAATATTTGATTTTATGAAATATACATATTGTTCTCATTTTTCTGTCAAGAATTATGCACATTTTCTATTTATAAAATAGAAAATTTTTCAATTTTCTTTTCTCTTTTTCTTGTCTCATATTGTCTTCTCTTGTTTCCTTTTATGAAATATGCACTTATATATAAGTAATTTTTTGATTTTCAACATCATATGTATTTTACTTCCCTTATACTTATCAAATAATTTTATTAATTGTGTTAGGCGCCGACTAGGCGATGATTATAGGAAATTTTTTTTTCTCTCAAATAATATTATTTTCATATATTCGGCGCCAGAAATTTTGAATTTTACATTTTCTTTATTTTATTATTATTTTTTTCAATTTTTCTACACTCCTATTTGTTTTATGAAATCTTTAAGAGTTTCACACATCTTATTATTTACTCTATTTTTATGCCATCACACTTTTATTGTATTTGATTAGAGGGGATATTTCCCTTAAATTTGATTTATTAAATAGTTTATTAAAACATTGATGTGTGACAGTAGCTTTTATTAAAATGAAAAGGAAGTATTAGACGTAGGAAATCCCACCCACATATTCCTATGCCTTTCACTGATTTCTTTTCTACCTTTCATATTATTATTTTAGTGCTTGATTATACTTTAATCTAATTTACTGTGGCTAATTTCTCTTTATCACTCCCAACACGATCTTATATTTTAATTCTAACAAACCTATATTCACGAGAGTATACCGTAAACTGAAGTAACATATTTTTAATTTGTGTTTTCTTAATTTTCATTAGTTTCCTATTACAATAAATTTTCTTGGTTTAAAATATACTAAGAGGATGATCATACCCTTTGTTTCCCCTGAAAATCTTTAGCCCCCACTTTTCGAATTATAATTAACCTTGGCTAGTCATGTATAAAATTAGCTTCTCCCTCTCATAAATATTTGGTATTATATCTTTCTTGCTCTACTTACTTGTTTTATTTATTGCTAACTTTGTACCTTTTTCTTAATTTCTGTTTCCTCTAGGAATATTTCACCGGTAAATAACTAGGGCATCCCTCTTATATAAATGAGTTAAAACCTATAAGTGTTTCTTAGATATATCAAGAGTAAAGGATTTAGATATCATAGACAAATTTTGTCATTTTCTATAAGATCTGGTATCCCGACAACTACTATATTCATTAATTGTTGCTCTACAAATTTAAATTCCTAAGAAATTATAATTTTTTGTTTTGTAGTTTTATTTATTTTAATTTTTTATCTTACTGTTTACCCAAACACCCGAATTTAGATAATTTTCTATTGAATTAATGGAGAATAATTATTGCAGAACTATGCAAAATCTTAAGGGATAGCTACTTATTTCTTCACTAAATATTAATGGCCTATGGAATAAACTCGTTATTTTACTGAGATTAATGGCAGACGAGAAAATAGACATAATTGCTCTACAGGAGACTCATACCCGAGACAGCGTTACTGCAACCTTTAATCACTTTATTTTATACTGCTTTGGTACTACCTCTAACAGTTGGTCAGGTGTCGGATTTTTGATAAACAAGAAAATATTCAGCCATATAAATAAGTTTACACCTATTTCAGAGAGATGTGGGTTATTATATATCAACACAAATTTTAGGCCAACAATACTAGGGAATGTGTATGCACAACCAAACAGGAGGGATAGATTACTTTTTCTCGACGATCTGAAAATATAATTAACGCTTTACCCAGAAGATACAACATAATTTTGATGGGCGATCTAAATAACAGGATTTGTTCGGAGGAGATTTATAAAAGGAAAAACATTATTGGAAATGCAGCCCTTGCTCAGCCTAATGGAGACGACAGTAGAAAACTACTTGAGTTGTGTGGTAGTAAAAATCTCAAAATTAAAAATACTTTTTTCTATCATAGAGAGAATAATACACTCACTTTTAAAAGGGGAAATTACAAATCGCAAATAGATTTTTTTATTTCAAACGTCCACGGCTGGTTCGAAGATATAATGGCCATGACGTGTGTAAATCTTTCTGACCATAAAATGGTCAAAGCCAAGATCCTGATAAGGAACATATGGAGTACCTCAATTGGACCAAATAACAACTCTAACCAATCGGCAAATCTACCCAGAAAGCAAAATATCAATAATCTACAGGTACCAGAGATTAAAGAGCTCTTCGACCGAAGATTATGCAAGAATGCAATGAATTTTGAAAGCATATCCCGGTCCAAAACTGTGGAAGAATGCTGGATGATTTTCAAAAATGGCATTCATGAAGATAGCGAGGTTTTAGGAATAAATAGCCCTCTCGCGAGAAAGGATTGGACATCCACGGCAACTATGGAGAAAATTGAGGAGCTGCGTTTAAATGGCCACTTTGATAGGGAATTTTGGAAGTCCATACAGAGATCTCTAAGAAGCGACAGAAGGATCTTCACTGCCAGAAAAGCTTGCTAAATCGATGCAGATATGAGAGGAAATAGACTTTTTAACGCTTATACCAAACAATATTTTTGCAAATCAAAAACCTTCAAAAAATTTCCTACCATTCGTCTGGAAAATAACAGAATCATAATTGACCAGGATGATCAGTTGGTAGACTGATTATTACATGAGGATCTTTGAATCTAGGAGACCAATAAATATACCACCGGAATTGCAAGATACGCCTCAATCCACCCCACAATTCTCACTAATTGAGATTTCCACTTCACTTAAAAAACTTGGAAATCATAAAGCCCCTGGCCCAGATAATATTACTAGTGAACATCTCAAAGCGACAAAAACTGCTGTAACATGATTTTTGCAAATTATCTTCAATCCGAAGGATTGGAATCTTTCCACCCTTTGCAACTTCCCCAAAATCTCAAATCCCACTAAATTCGGTGACTATAGGGCAATAGCACTCAAGATTCGTATTCTGCAAACTTCACAAAACCTCTTTGCCAAATATATTTGCGCTTATCGCCCTGGCAAAAATATCATGGAGCCCTTTCTTGCTCTCAAAATTATCATCCAAAAATGTGATAGGTATAAGCTACCCTTCTACTTAACCTTTATCGATTTTAAACAGGCGTTCGATAATGTCAACCATGATGCACTCTGGAAAACATTATCAGAGGTTGGAATTGACCCAAATATTATCAAGATATTACGACACCACTATAATAATCTGTTTGCCACTTGCAGAGTAAACAATAAAGTTTCTTCACCATTTAGGATTAGGAAAGGAGTAAAACAAGGCTGCGTCCTTTCACCAGTCCTCTTTATCATAGTAATGAACAAAATTCTAAAAGACACATTGGGCGCGGCTAATCTACTGGAACTTAACACATCAATGAGTAATACGTTTCATCTAGAGAATATAATTATTTCCTACGCTGATTATGTGGTAATCATTACAAAGGACCTTAAGGAAACCGTGAATCTCATTCAATTGTTGAAACTAGTGTTGTTAAACCACTCATTTGAGCCGATTTTTAAAAACGGCTAACTCACTATTTTAGCCAGAAAAATATTGCCTAAGCCTCGAGATTTTTATAATATATGTCTAGACTTTTGTTCCTTCTATGAACAAAATCTACAAGCTTGCGTAATATTTTTCTGGATAAAATATTGAGTTAGCCGTTTTTAAAAATCGGCTCAAAACGAGCCGTTTAACAACACTAGTTGAAACTGGTAAGCTTGAAAGTTGGGTTAGAAATAAATTTTAAGAAAACTATGATTCTCTTAGCAAGACCCACGCCTCCTATAGAAAATATTGATATCGGATCGGAGACGATCAAGGTGGTTACTCAAATAAAATATATTGGAATTACCTTAGATAATAGAGGGGGATGTAAAGAGGAACTCAGGTTAAGATTACAAAAAGCCAGGGCAGCTTTCTATAAGTATTTCAAGCTTTGGAAGACTAGAGAGATTCCTACCTTCACTAGACTACGCATCTTTAATTCAACGGTGATTCCTGTTCTATTATATGGTTATGAAACATGGGAAATCACTAAAGCAAACAACAGAAAATGCCAGACGTTTATTAACAAGTGCTTAAGGATAATTAACGGCGTCTTCTACCCTAGACTCATAACAAACGAAAGATTATGGAGACAATCGAAACACACTCCGTTCCACATTATACTCAAGAAAAAACGAATTCAATTTTTAGCCCACATTTTAAGATATCCTAACAGTAATCTGGTTCATGACGCTTTAACTTGGCTCTTTACCTGTAGAGGTAAATCATACAGCAGATACAAGACGTTATGGTTTCACCGCGTTTTGAAAGATGTTGATGATCTGAATATAAACTGGAAACAGTTCGTTAGATTGAATAACAATAAAAATTCTATCTAAAAGCTTCTTAAGATTAAATCTAGGTACCTAAGATGAAATTCCTCATCCTTTACCAAACCCTTCTCCCCCTTTATCTACTTGATTACCTTAATAGTACAGGTTCCTTTTCTCTTATTTAATAATTACATTTTATTAAAAATGACTCGCTAAATATTAACTTAAACGAGCCTCCCCCTTTCCAATAATGATTAGATACAAATAGGATTATAGGTATGGGTGTGGGCTGTCTTTTTAGGCCTTTCCCTCTTAATCAGCCCACAGACGTTTAAATGAAAGTCCTCGGACTATTGTGCGTACAAATACGTGCGGATTGCCCACAAACGTGTAAAGGGCTTCTCATATTTTCTTCCCCGATAACTTTAATAATCCAGTTAGATAGAAATGAGAAAAACCTAGCGTAGCTCTGTTGTTCCCACAACGTTGAGAGGGCGAATGCGCTTTATCACGTATTATCACATAATGTATTACTCCACTAAAAAGTCATAAATTAAAATATTATATCTATTATTAAAATATTAATAATAATAGTAAATATTTAGTATATAATTAATAATTATTCTATATTTAATATTAATTTTTTAAATATATAATGAAAATGATCTCTATAAATTTATCTTATTAAACTTTTCCCAATAAATTAAATTATTAACATGGTATATATTGTCAATTTATAAATACTAATTTTATGTATATTATTTTAATATATATGGCCATTAGATAAACTCTACATTCTTTAAATATTATCAATAAAATAGATATTGTAAATATTTAGTATATTATTAATTAAATATAATGTTTAATATAAATTTTTAAATAAATTATAAAAATGATTTACATAAAATTATTTAATCTAGAGCAATAAATATTTTCACAATAAATTGTTATTGCCTAAGATTACGATTATTTTTAAATCCTAAACATGATATTTATATATTTTCTGGTATTTATTTTTCAATTTATAAATACTAATTTTTTACATTCACTTTTTTGATGAGTGTCCATATCAAAATAATAGGATTTAGATTTTTTATTTTTAGTGTTAAAGCCTTCTTTATATAATAATAAATTATTTATTTTAAGTATTTATACATTGCATAGACAGATTGATCATTTATATTTGCACTGAATAATATATAATATTATAATAACACAATCATAATACAATATACATTCATATAAAATATTAACAGTGAATAGACATGATTCATATCTATACATATTAAATATATATAAAAACTATAATGATGTGAATCAATTAGAGCATTGCTATATCTATTGGAAAATCACAATCATCTAAAATAGATTTATTAATTATGTTTATTTAAAGGGTTGAAAAAAAGGAATATTATATTCATATAATAATAATCTTCAATAAATGCTTTTCTGATTTATTATCATTTGCAAGCAGAATTATTTGGACCTAAATAATTTAATATAATAAATAAATAAATCCATACCTTCAGCAGAAGTAAGCATGACCTCTGTATCTTCTTCTACTGCATTTTAGGTTGGCTGAATTAAATTTGGGCCTAAAATTATTAAACATACTAAAAACATTTGGTAAAAAATTTATACTTTCAACAGGAAAGGATTGAGTATCTCTTATAAGAAAGTTGCTTACTGAATTGAATTTGTTCCTAAATTATTAAATTTATTTAATCACATTAAATTATTAATATTTCATTTACAATAATTGTTTTTAAATTTTCAGAGACTGTTGGGATTTTCATTTGTAAAACTAATTATATACTTTTCTCATATCAAAAATTTTCGCCATACTGAGAACATTTTTGGGAACATTTTTAAAATTTTCGCTGTTTCGGTCTTCGCTACGTACCCAGGCCTGATAGATATGAATTTCTTGCTTAATATTATCAGCTGTTTTTCGGGTTACAATTATAATATTTTAATTATATATTTATTTTCTCTAAATATAACAAAAGATTTTGAAATAAGAATTCAAAGAGTTTGTTTTTATTATTTTAATCTTAATTTTTATGAAACAACAAATAATATAATTGTTTTAAGATTTGTCTACACCCTTTGGCTTGTTTTCGGTTCATTTTTGTCGGGCGTCGGCCTAATTTTGTTCATAGATTTATATTTTCCAATGACATTAATACTATAGACTGCCGATCGTAATGCTAAAATCAAATTTGAAGTGGCAAAAATTGAAGTGACTGGTGGCCATTTTGTGTTTGTATCTTTTACGAAAGAAGCATATGATAATTTCATGAATTTCAGGTATATTTTTATTATGTTTATATTTATAATATATATATATATTCTAATTAAACACCAATTTACCTTATATATTATAGTATATATGAATCAAATAAAGGTCATTACTGAATATTTTACTTGAAATATTTATGCTCTTTATTAACATTTGCAATTTATTATTTAATAATGAATATCTTTTATAAGAATTCAATTTAATATTTTTTAATTACTAAAAGATTTAAAATGGTAGTATATTGCTGAGGAAGCAAAATTTCTTTTCATAAGTATGATATCTCAAATTATTTATTCTATTGTAAAAATTATTTATGGCAGATTTCCTATGAAAGATAAAATATTATTACAAAAGTGGACCCATGCTGTGAAGAGAGAGAACTTCAATGTAACAAAATATAGTAAATTATGTTCAAAGCATTTTACACCAGATTCATTTATTCCATCTGGTACAAATCATGTTCAATTAAGAGAGGGAGCAATACCATAAATTTTTAATTTTCCAAAGCATCTTCTAAAAGTAACAAAATAATGAATAATAAATTATAACATGCAGGTTTCCTAGAAGACGAATTAATTCAAAAATACATGAATATTTTTTTTTATAGAAATCAATTCTAGATTTCTTTTGTATTTTTATAATTTATGTCTTTTATGTTTTATTTTTGCTTATAATTATGTTATTCCTTAATAAATATAAACTATCCATTTCTAAATATATTTCTTTATTTAAATTTAATTCACTAAAGTATAAAAATCAATAATGTAAATATATATCATGAAAAATACAAATAATATATATTATGTTATATTTACATCAAATAAAATAATTGTATTATTATAATTAATATGTATCGCGAAAAGAAAATATTAATCTTATAAATCAATAATAAATACAAATAATATATATATGTTATATTTATGTCTAATAAAATTAATTTATTATAACCAATAAAGTCATTAGAAATTTTCAGATAATTTGTTCTTCACCTATAAATATTTAAGTTAAATAACATATTTTTATATTACTTGGTTTATTGCCCTTGAAAAAGTACAGCCTTGTTTAGTTTTTGCCTGATATTTAATTGTAATTTTTGATTTACTTTATTACCAAAATGATGCATTCTTATGTGCAGGTATCTGAAAATAAATTTTTATTAAAATTAAGTAAATATTATATATACCTTTTTATTATAAGTCTTATTATAATTTGATAATGACTTAACCCTGCCTCTTGATCAAACATATGATCTTGCAGATCACTAAGGATATTTGTGCCTAATATTTTTGACAATATTAGACATTCTATTTTTTTAACAGCATGTCTTTTGGTTATTTCATCTACTTTTTCAAAAGCCCTGAATGAGCTCTCTGTTATTTTGCATAAATTTGATACGCTTTGGGATGGTATTATCAATCCACCATAATTCTTAATTTTTATTAATGTATAATTATTGTCGTTTGCGGAATTATCAATTAAGGAATGTAAACAGATATCACATCTAACTTTCATTTCTTCATATTCAGTAGTGACCTTTATTTGATTCATATATACTATAATATATAAGGTAAATAATAAATTGGTGTTTAATTGGAATATATATATATATTATAAATATAAACATAATAAAAATATACCTGAAATTTATGAAATTATCATATGGTTCTTTCGTAAAAGATACAAACACAAAATGGCCACCAGTCACTTCAATTTTTGCCACTTCAAATATAATCGGCAGTCTATAGTATTAATGTCATTGATATTTTCTACAATAATTTATAATATATATTTGATAGTCAAAATAATATTCAATACAATTGTTACTTTTAGATTTTCTTAGCAAAAAAATATATTTTTACCAAGTCAGCCCTTTAATTTTGCATTTATTTTAAGAAATAATATGGAAATAAAAAAAAGAACACTAAATTAATTACATAATATCAAATATATTTAAAAATCATTTCAAAAATGTACATTGAATTCACGCGTATTCTATGAAATATATATTTTTTATAAAAATATTTAGCAATTTATATTGTGAATTTATAGTTATATAAATTAAAATTTACAATATCTTTTAACAATTATTTAATTACACCATAATTTTATGAATACTTTACAAAAAATATTATAGATTTGGCTAAAACTATGAAAATCGCGAATATTTTATTATTAATTCTTGGAAAGTTAATAGATAATATCAGGGTTGTGCATTTGACCGGTCAAATACAATTCGGTCAATTGACCGATATTTGACCGGTCAAATATGGTCAAATACAATTCGGTCAATTGACCGATATTTGACCGGTCAAATACAATTCGGTCAATTGACCGATATTTGACCTATGGTCAAATATGGTCAAATATGGTCAAATTCAAATAAATGTTTTTTACACCAATATTAACTTTATTTTGCATTTATATAATATTATAATAAATCTATGTATAATAATAAATATCATAATATTTTTTAATTCATTCTATAGTCAATGTTTCACCCTCCGTGGCAGAGTCTTGTTCCGATTCATATTCAATATCATTATTTTCTTTAATATTTTTAATCAATCTTAAATTATGATACACTCTTACTAATTTTCCTGCTGTAGAAGCCTTTAATCTATTTCTGTTTTTCGTGTGAATATTGCCCCAAACCGACCAATTTCTTTCAGAAGAAGAAGTCGAACTAGGAAATGTTAGTAAAATATTAGCGACTTCTCTTAATGGGCAAGGTGGGCAAAATGCATTCCACCAACTTGAGGCCGAAATTTGATTGTTTCTTATGGAAGTTACAACTTTCCACATATTATGGCTATTAAATATACCGCTTTTGCTTCTGAAATTTACTATATTACTCAAAATATTTTGATTATCACCACCTTGTAAAATACCCAATTCTTGTATTATATTACATGCTTCATCAAATTCAGTATTAGTAAGATGCTCCCCTTGATATTGGGGGTCCAATAAATAAGCAGCATTGTGAGCACATGTATTTATATCAGTTTTTCTCTTTTCAAACATAACCTTAATTTTTTTTTCTTGAGATGGAGAAAATATAGAATCATGGCATGATTGTATTATGTGTTTTTCCAAATTAAGCATCTCGTTTTTTACTTGGGCCAAAGTACATTTATCCCCTTGCACTTTCAACAATGAGGTAGCTAAAGGTTGGAGTATAGCTAAAAATTTTAAATTTTTCGTCCAAAATTCTTCGTTTAATATATTATTGGTAATTTCTATGGGACAATTATCACAAACAGCTTCTTCAACAACTGATGCTTTTAGAGCTTTCTTGCATATTTGAATTTGCTCCATACATTTTATTGACGATGCCCATCTTGTTTGGCTAATTGTACTTAATGTAGATGGTATGCCATGAAGATTCTTATTACGGGAAAATACTGCAGCTGGTATGTATTTATTCTTGAAAAATTTAACAATTTTTTTAATTATTGAAATATGGTCACTGAAGGCGTCCAATCGTTCAAAATCTTGAAAGAATAACTGCAATGTATGCGCTGCACAACCATAACATTGTATATGATTATAAATAGATTCAGATTTTAGAATTCTCCAGGCTGCTTTCATGTTAGCGGCATTATCAGTAACTAAAGAATATACTTTTACCGGATTCAATTCATGAATTACATTTTTAAATTCCTGGGCAATATAATCTGCCGTATGGCGATTTTCCTCAGTATTTAGAAATTTGTAGAACACTGGAACAGGCGTCATCACCATAAAATTAATAATACTCTCGTTTCTAATGTTGCTCCAGCCATCTGATACAATTGATAAGTAAGGAGCTTTATCTATTATATCTGCAACTCTCACCTCCATATCACCTGACGCTTTGTCTAGAAGATATCCAGCCAGCTGCCTTCTCCTGGGTAATGTGTAAATAGGACGTATTTTTTTAAAAAATTCTTGGATGTAGGGATTTTCAGTGATGTGGAAAGGTAAATTGCTCGCATATACAGCCTTTGCAAACAATTGATCCAGCTCATTTTTTTCTTTGGGATTAATTCTATCTATGAAACCGGTTATACAAGATTGAGATTTATATTTAATCGCCTTGCTTGTAGATTGATTAGAAATAAGGGAATCAAATTCTCCTGAGTCACAAGACAAAATATTGTTCATTTGATAATCATTCTCACTAATTTCACCCAATTCTTCATTAGAGTTAGACTTAGAAGTATTACAAATTACATTTGTGATATTTTTTGTAGAGGTTGATATTTTGGAATTTGAATAAAATTTTTCCTTAATTATAACAGGGCACATAGTACAGCTGCTTAATAAATGTTTGACCATTCTATCAACGTGGGTGATATAGGACATCTTGCAAAACTTGCACACCGCTTTAACTGATTTACCATCGCGTACTTCTTGAAAATGTTTCCAAACATGATGCTTTGGTTTGACCATAATCCCTAATATATTAAAATTTAACAAAAAATGATTTTGATTATTGTAAAGTTAATCAATCTTAACTATTTTATAATTATCGACCAATTATTCCAATAATTTCTTAATATTATAAATATAATATAATAAACTTTTTACCAGAATTGAATAATATTCCGTAAATCTGACCAGAACAATTAAAATGAAAATTAATTTTAAAAACCAAATATAGCAAGTGTAAGTAAAACAAATGAGAATTAATATAATTTATACTCGGCTAAATATTAAATAAAATTTAAATTTATTAAAAAATAAGAATGAAAAAATTATATTATGATTATAATAAATCGGGTATTTTTATTTTTTTTAAGAAAAATGAATTGAAAAAAATAAAGAAGGCGAGAAACGGCAATGATTAGGCAAAAAAATAACTAAAAATATTACTATATTTAGAAAAATTACATATTTATATTTTAATAAAAAAATAATAAGATTGATAAACATGCTTTTAATGCATACTAGTTAATTATATCAAAATATTTATTCGCCATTAATATTTTAGAGTATTTGACCGTATTTGACCAGTCAAATACTCCTCCGGTCAATTGACCAGTCAATTGACCGAATTTGACCGGTCAATTGACCGACATACCAACCCTGGATAATATCAACCATTTTAAGAGGTTTATATGATTTTTGTAGCACAAAATTATATAAAATTGAGAATCAAAGACCTAGACTTGCACCTAGACACACAAATGGATGGTCTCAATATTAATATGGACTCAATTGAGGATTAGTAAAAAATAGCCGTTGTAATTCCACTCTTGGATACATTATTATAGTATTGTTAATTGGCCATCTCTAGTCGATTTGAGTCAATTTTTGGGTGGATAAAATCGATCAAAACGTTTATGAACTCATATAGTTAAACCGAGTTATAAACAGGGTTGCCATGTCTCCCCCCATCAGCGGGAGACTCCCGCAATTTTTTAGTTTACACGCAGACATCTCTCTCCCGCAAAACTACCGCAATTGGAATTCTACCGCAATTTTTTTTAAAAGTTTTTAACGTTTTTAATATATAAATAATAATTTTGAGAGACAGTAATTGATTATTTTTTTATTTTTAAAATAGATTTAAAATATTTAATCGAAAAACATGTCTAGTTTGTAAATTTCTTTCTATCCTGTTTTATTTTTATACAATATATCAACATCATTTCATTCATCAGTACAGGGGAGTATATCAACATCGATTGCAATATAAAAATATTCTCCAAAATAATAAATAATACAGATGCAACTACAGTTGCGGAAATCGTCATCTATCATGTAGTTCAACATTCACAGAGCTATATCATCACAATGTGGGTCGAATCTTTTTCCCATGATATTTAACGACTCCAATATAAGTGCAAACCTTACTTGTGGTAGAACAAAAATGAGCAAGGCTATCACAAGTGTTTTAGTACCTGAATTCTAGAGGTCAATTCTAGACGATTTGAAAGATGGGCATACATATGCAATTCTGACAGTTGCATCTAATAAGGGTTATATTGAAACATTTCCCTTGATCTTTCGCTATTTCAACAAGAATAAGAACATTTCAATAAAAAAACTGTTAATTTTTTTCCTTGGATAGTGAAAAATCCAACGATGTAGCTAACCACATAATGTAAATATAGCTGATTCAGGGTTATCAATGAATTGCATGTCAGCTTTCTGCGCTGATAATGCCTCTGTAAATTTTGGCAAAAATCAAAGTGTATTTACCGAATTGAGGCAGCACAATAATGAATTAATACCAATTGACTGTATATGCCATATACTACATGATTCTTGCAAGAAGGCGTACTATCTGTGGATGTCGAAATAATTATGATAAGAAGTTTAATTCATCAACTAAAAGAGTTAATGAATTAAAAGAGTTGGTGGAGTGGTCTGACTTGGTATGATGTGAGTGGTTACGATATGTACCTATCAGGTGCTTATCGTTAATACCTGCCATCGATAGAATTTTTAAATTTTACAAATCCTTAAAAAAATACTTTTTAAATAAAGATTTTAAAAGCTGTCCTAAAATTTTGAAATATTTTTTCAAGTATGAAATGGCAGAAGCATATTTTGGATTAGTTTCACATGTAGGAAATCTACTTCATGCAGTTAATATTCAGTTGTAATCAGAATATTCTTTATTAATAAAGATTCACAAAATCATGCTACAGCTCTGTTCATCTCTACAGTTAAAAATTGATAATAAATTTTATAACGCTATTGCTAAAAATATTAAATTTACAAATAATACTCTAATTAATACATTTTTAAAGCAGATATTTTTATTAAGACAATTTTAGAATATTTAAGATCAAAATTTGATTTTAATAACTCTAACAAATGTATAAATATTATGACCTTGGAACAAAAACCGTCAATTGATGGTTTTTGTAATTTAATAAATATATTAAAAATACCGAAAGACATTGATGTCTTGTTTGAGGTGATTGTAATTCTCTCTATTTTTTATGATTCGCCAGAATACTTAAAGTTAGATTCTAAAAGCAGAGGAGAAACGGGTAGAATTTTTTTGTAATAACAATAAATCCCCATGCCTGGAAAAAAATTGCGAGTATGTCTTCTTTACCTCATTCTAATGCCTCATCCGAGCGCATTTTTAGCCTGATGAGGACTGTTTAGAAAAAGAATTGCTTTAACAACATTATAGGCCGAGCTAATGGTTAAACAAATTTATGATATGTCATGCCAGGAATTTTATAAGTATCTCAATAACGACGGTAAACGTTAAGTTCTATTATTTAAATCTCAAATAAAATATTTTTAACATTATATTTAATTTCCCATATTTTTTTATTTATACATTCGCATAAAATAAATATATTTTTTACATTGTAAATCAATAATAGAGAGCATTACAATATCCTCAAACAAGACATCAATGTCTATCGGTATTTTTAAAATATTTGAACATTTTAATAGTTTTAGCAATATGGCCATAAAATTTATTGTCAATTTTTAACTGTAAAGATTAACACATTTGTAGCATAATTTTGTGAATCTTTGTTAAGATTCTTCTGATTGCAACTTCACATTAACAGTATGTAGTAGATTTCCTACATGTGAAATCATTCCTAAATATACCTCTGCCATTCATTACTGAAGAATCAAAATGTTAGGACAGCTTTTATAATCTTTATTTAAGAAATATATAAAGGTTTATAAAATTTTAAAATTCTATAGATGGCGGGTATTAGGAACATATCGCAACCAACATTGTGCTGACTCAATTCTGTAAATACACTCTGGTTTTTTCCAAATTCACTGAGGCATTATCAGATAAGAAAGTTGACATGTAATTTATTGATAATCCCGAATCTGCTATATTTACCATTATATGGTTAGCTATGTCTTTGGATTTTTCACTATTTGAGGGGAAAAATAATTTTGTTGAAATAGCGAAGGATCAAAAGAAATATTTTAATATTTCCCTTATTAGATACATCTGTTAGAATTGCATATATATGCCCATCTTTCAAATCGTCAAGAATTGACCTCCTGAATTCAGGTTCTAAAACATTGATGATATCCTTGCTCATTTTTGTTCTACAAGTAAAGTTTTCATTTATCTTGGAGTCGTTAAATATTATGGGGAAAGATTCTACCTACATTGTAATGATAAGTAGCTCTGTGAATGTTGTACTACAAGATAAGTGATTACAATTGCTGCAACCGTAGTTGCATATGTATTATTTCTTATTTTTGGAGAATATTTTTGTTTTGCAATGGATGTCGATACACTCTCCTGCACTGATTATAATAATGTGACTGAACAATAATAAATAAAATAATTATCATTGAAATGAGTACAATATTACCTTATTATATAT